ACACACACACACACACACACACACACACACACACACACACACACACAGGAGAGAGGGAGGAATATGTGAAAGAGGCTAAGAGGAAAGTGTCAGAGGTAGCTCTTATTTTCCAATGCCCAGCTCAAATATCCGAGGAATAGAATACCACTACCGGTATTAATATAGGCTTTGAAACAAGGCTGACCACAACTATAATAGTAGCATTAGAAGAGGTATATCAGTGCTGGAGATGTTAGCTCAGTCACACAGTCCAGCATGAATGAAATTCTAAGTTCAATAGTTAGTACAGGAGAAAGAAAAAAAAAACCCAAAACATTAGATCAGACTAAGAAAATCTTTTTTAAAAAATAGCATATGCTACTTTAAAATTACAATGAAAGCAAATCCTGGAGATGCTTGGCCATATACCACAGTGTTCCCAAAGTCTCCTGAAAGAGACTTGCTAGGCTTCACTTTAACCATAAACTGTACATTGGGAAGCAGACTGAAGACATAAGTTTTCTTTGTTCCTATCCACTCATTCCAGGTAATACTGAGTCAACTCCTTGCCAGTCCTGAAGCATCCTGATTTTTTTCAAGAGTCCAGAGCCATGTGATTCCTACCCACTCTGTCAATGCACTGAACACAGATCTGACCAAAGTGCTCTAGCTGTACACATGGCATGCCAGGTTTGGGTGTGAAAGGGCAAAGTCTTCACTCTAACTCCCTAACACCTAGCTTGGGAGCTCCACCTTCTAAATGAACATCCACAATCATTCTAATGCTGACATGAGTTCATATTTAACATGTCAACAATTGAAGAACATTTTTAAAGGGCACCAGGGAGTTAAGTCATAGAGGTATATGCTATAGCTAAGAGACCTGTCCTAAGAAGCTGTATGGAATAGAAGGCACTGTATCTAAGCATTAATAAAAAGAAACACCAAAGAGACCATAGGTGGAAATCTCAGCTAGTTCACATTTTATGGGAAAGCCATGGTCCAACCATTCCAGGGCTTCATGGTTCATAGGTTAATATGTTCTTGGTGACTATACATAGAGGTACTGCAGACCATCCTTTCACTCCCCTCACTCTGTAACTGATATGTGTGTGTGTGTATATATATATATATGAGTTATATATGTATACAAATATATATATGCATGTATATACAAAAAAATATATATATGTATATTTGATGCAAAACGTCTATGGCAATTATCAATAAAATACAAAATAAAAATCCCTCAGGTGTTAGACTTTAAGAGAAAAAGTAAGCAAGAAAGTATTCTTGTACTTAATTCTTAGGTGAATCTGTTTGCTAAAGGGAGAATAAAGGGGCATGTTTTCTGCAGCACTGGGGACGTGGTTCTGGAGAGCATTGAAAGGAGCCAGACTGGCAGAGAAACCAGAAGCCTCCATTATCTTTTGTTTTTCTCTTTAAACTTTGAGAAATAGCAGTGTATGCCCATTATATTTATACTTTTACTTTTTTTTTACTACTTATTTGTCCATGTACCTAGAACACTAAAATGGACATTAGAATATATAGGGGTTTCTAATGGGTTTGGAAACTCATTTGAGGGTAGACAATAAAAAGGGACTCAATGTACTTAAAAGGGGTGTGTATGGTAGAGTTCTGAACTTGAGGGTCAGGAGACAAGGGCTTGTACTTCTGTTAGTAGTTGTGTGGGTTTTGGCTTCCTGGGCCTCAGTTCTCTCTCCAATAAGGTCAGGAGGTAGAAAAATCTGGCTTTCTGGGGTCCTAACTCTAGCATTCTGATACAAGAAACCTGCGTCTTAAGCCTAAGAGGCTTATGAACTTCAATAATAATACAAATGGTTCTGGTAAAATAAACAAAAGAAAGTTTACAAAATGCTCTGTGTACCTGACAAACTCTCAGCCACAGGATAAGCCTAACAACTCATTTCTAGACTTAAAACTTTCTGTTTTGTCACTTTTCAATGAGCCACCAAGCTTTC